CTCCCCCTTCCAGGGACTGCAGTCCAAGAGCACCATACCTGCATGAGGGGGGCCCCGATGGTTGACTTCCCCATGCCAAACTGGTTGCCCATGGACTGGTAACTGTCGGATGTGGTGAACTTCCAGATGGTGATGGTGACCAGCTTCTCTAGGGGGATGACGGGTCGCATCTGGGTGTCTCATCTGAGGGCAGGGGCGAGCCAGGCGCACACAGCTCCAAGAATGTCTCCTTCCTCGTGCAAGTTTTGGAGCCACTGCTGGTCATTCCACGGCTCTATCACCAGCTGTGGTGTCCAGCCTCCTGAAGCGTCGCTCCACCCTGGGGTGCGGTTTCAAGGGCATCGCTCCCACACACTGGCAGAGGTTCTCAAAGATGAGCTCAGGATCGAGCTCATGCAGAGCCATGAAGGCAGCCTACAGAAACTGCAGCACAACGGCGTGGGGCCATCGCATGCCCAGAGGCAGCTCCAGCTCCATGGCAGGGAGTGCTGTGGTGTCCTGAAGCAGGGCAACCAGAACATGTGGAGAAGGAAATGCTTTGCTATTCCTTGGAGAGGTAGGCAAGCAAGCAGAAGAACCTGAGAAATGGCTGTCCAGGGGGTCCCTTTAAGCCAGCATCTCAGATAGCCTTAGACAGCAGCTCCAGGAAGCAACTGCTGACCTAATGCTCTGCCTGAACTGGTTCTGAGTGGCCTTAAATGTGAGATAGCATCCAATCAGTGTGGATGCTAACTTTCTAAATAGCACATCACTATTTTGTTGCACTTTTTGTGTGTAGACGCTCTATTTTAAAGTCAGATTTTCCAGAAGATATCTTCTGGAAAAGCTTATTCCAAAAGAAGCTTGCAGTGTAGACGTACCCTTAGATGAGTCCCAGGAGGTCTTGGCTATTATTGGCCATGCTCCAGGTATCTCTAAACCTCCATGCTGGGACTTGGATGACAGGATTGTTAGAAATTGTCCTGTTCTGTTCATTATCTCTGAAGCATTTGGAACTGGCTATTGTAAAAACAAACAGGACACTGGGCTAGATGGACTATTGCTCTGACCTGAAATACCCATTTTTATGTTCTTATGTACATAGGTTCTCTTATTTCACTTATCACCAGAGTGTCCTCTAATTTTTCCCACCCATGTGCAGAATTAGTTTTGTTACATGCACCAATGTGAAAGTGAGGTGTCACACATCACTTTCACATTGGTGCACATAACAAAATTCATATGATGGGGTGGGGGTGAGGCTGAGAGGTTCAAAGTGTGGGAGAGGGCTCAGGACTGAGACAGAGGGTTGGGATGCAGAGATATGAGGTCTCTGGCTATAGGTGTGAGCTTTAAGATGGGGCTGGAGATGAGAGGCTTATGTTTGGGGCAGAGGATTTGGATGCAGGGGTGTGAGGGCTTTAGCCGGGGTTGCGGCTTCTGGGGTTGGGTTCAGGATCAGGAATTTGGGGTGCAGGACAATACCTCAGGGCTACAGTGTGGAGGGAGGACCGCCCCCAGCTTTTCCTGCAGCAGCATGTTGGCTGGGAGGGAGAGGCACCTCTCCCCTCCATGGCATTCCGAAACAATGGACTGAAATGACCAGCTATGGGGGTGTATATTCCATCAAAGGTGATGGCATCATGGTTGCAGACTTTTCAAAGTATTATCCTCTACTCTCCAGCATCACCTGACCTGTGTCTTGCTTGGATTCAGTTTCAGCCAATTGTTCTTCATCCATGAGCTGGTCCTTTCCAAGCTCAGAGCCATCTTACCAGTAATGGAGTGGTCATCTGGGGTGAAGGATATATGTGGGGTGCTATTTATCATCTGCATGGTCCCAGGACTTGAAGTCCATATTCTCTGACCAGTTCTCCTAATGGCTGAATGTTAAAAAGGACTGGAGATAGAACTGGATCCTTGTGAGACTTCACAAGAGAGGGGGTCTAGTGGAGGAGGTGCAATTCACAAGTCTTGAGTTGGGACTTCTTTGGATATGTCCAGATGATATGTTCTTGATGAGTGAGAGTACTGACCAGGGGGATGCATGTGGGCTGGTGGGTCCTGACAGAGTGGGTTCATGCTGTTTGAGGAGGCTTCCAAATATGTGTGATCTTTTCTGTGAAGCAGGGTGATAATTCTTTGCAATGCTCGGTGCTTAGTTCTGATGCAGGTAGTAGGCATTCAGGGTTACTGAAGCAATTTATGCCCTGGGGTGGGATTGGCAGCTTCAGTGGAGCTAAAAGGAAAATTCTCTTGACCTATAATACAGCCTCAGCACAGGCTTTGAGAATTTTGTTATTCATCCTGTCTGATTTAGCTTACACCATCAGTGCTTGACTTTCCACCCCTTTGTCTAGATCTGGTGCAGGATGTCTGAAAGCCAAAGAGATCTATAATGGAGAGGAAGATGTGCCAGTGCTTGAGGCTGGTGCACAATGATAATGATTAACCAGGTCTTTGAATGCTGTTGGTTCACATGTGCAACCACTTCTCTCTGTGTTACCTGAGCATTCTCGGTTGACTCCAATTCCATCACTAATATAGCTCCTTTTCTTTCTATACATTAAGACTTGCAAAAACAGACAAATATGGAACTGAGGTTAATACCACAACATCCAATTAAAACAGAAAAGGGGCAATACTGAAACATTATTATGGTTTAATCTGCAATCACTGCGAACCTGATTCTGCCAGCACCATCTACACTGAGTGGTATTTTCCTACACAAATTATCCCATTAATGTTTGCACACAAGTGGATGACTACATAAGGTGCAACACAATAGCTAAAGAGACCTATGGAGAGGGAAAAAAATAAACATTTTAGTATGAATATAATTATTCGGTATTCGTTAAGTGCCAACGCTGCTTGTACAAATCATGACGCTTTTACAGCTCTTACTCTCAATGCTGAGCATGTAGGTCCAACAGAAGTCAATAAAGAAGTGGGGGGAGGAGGAGGAAAATGTGATTGTGTAATTAAAGACCTCACAAGAAGGCAGAATTAAGAATGTACAGGGTAAAGTAATGAAAATTCTGATATGGGATTCATGTAATAAATAAGTAAAGGAAAGGCTATAATTAATGCTAGTTAACGTGATTCTATGGAAGACAGGTCTTGTCAAAGAAATTGATTTCATTCACTGATTATATTATAAGTTTGGTTGACAAAAGTAATTGCATAGATGTAATATAATTAAATGAGACTATTGTAAGGATCTGCTTTAATACTGCATGATAGTCTGATTAAAAAACTAGCACCATACAATATAAATAAAGCACCGGGGGAAAATATTGGTGTCACGGGGTGTGCTCCCCCACCTCTCCCTGGTCCTGGGGCAAGATACCCCTCTATGATATCAACCTCACTGTTTAGTGTCCCTTGCTCAGGGGAAATATGGCCCACCGGCCTGGTCCAAAAAGGTCTGCAGTCTCCCTCTGGAAGGCTTTCTGGCCTGGAGGCCTACACCTCTGGTAAGACTCCCCTGGCTATCAAGGAAGCAGGCATTGTGGGGGCAAGGAGGTAGGGGCCTCCCACTCCTCTGGGTCCCAACCCAGAGGCAGTGGATGTCTGCACTACCTGCTCAGCAGGGCATCCTGCCAAAACGCACTGAGCTCCTGGAGGGACAAACCTCTGCCCTGGGCTGCTTCCTACCATTCCTGGTGTAGGGGCTATTGCTGAGGCTGCAGCGGCTCCTGGGGCTGCTGCAGCTGCTGCCTGGGTTGCGGCTCCTGGGGTTGCGGTGGCTGAGGCAGCTGCTGTCCTGGCTGCTGTCTGGCCTGGGGCTGGGTCAGCTCTTGCCTGGGCTGGGGCTGCAGTGGCTGCTCAGGAGCTCTGGCCTGAGCTTCTGTCCTGCTGGCAGTCCGCCCAGACTGAGCTGCTCCCCTGGTTTTTATACAGCTCTAGCAGTTGGAGCATGCCCATTCTGGGAAGAAGGGCAGGACTTCCTTTGTCCACAGAGACTTAGCCTCCTCCCCTTCAGTGCAGGGCATATTTGCCCTGCCACAATTGGGTACTGAAAAGCTCTCTAATGTAGCAGTGAAAAGCATAACAAGAGCCAATGGCTAGAAGCTGGAGTGAAACAAATTCAAATTAGAAATTAATCATTTTTAACAATAAGAGTAATTAACCATGGGAACAATCTGCAAAAGGAAGCGGTACATTCTCTGTCTCTTGGTGTGTTCAGATCAAGACGTGGTATTTCAGATCCATGTGTGAACTGGGATTATTCAGAGGTTTGTAACATGGCCAGATTAGGTGGCTTGACACAAGAACAGCAAAGGATACATCCCTAACACCAGAGCAATCCACTCACCTTCATACACACTTCTACATTTAAAGTCCCTGCTCCAGTGAATGATAGTGGCAGAGCTTCTCAATGAAACAACTGTAAGATTTTTGTCATGAACAAAACAATGGATTTTCCCTAATTTCATTCTCAGAGACAGATGAACCATTGTTGCAACAACCCTGTAAAAACCCACTCTAAGGCAGATGTGTATCATGGGAAATTTCAACCCATGTTTAACGTTTGACAAAGTTATAAGCAACTGAAAACAGGATCTTAAAACAGAAAAAAATGACACTGTTAACTTTTGGGATTCACTATTAGCATCACCTATTATAAATATTTCATATTGGCTAATGCATTGATACTACAGCCTATTATGCTGACTAGTACTGTCTAATTGTCTCCTTGTACCATCTTATCTGTCTGTTATCTCTTATTTTACATTTCGATTGTAAGTTTTTTTAAAGCAGGAACCATATTTTGTTCTGGTTTTGTACAGTGCTTAGCACATGGCTGGAGCTCCTACATGCTATGATAATATAAATAATATCTGTGTATATATGTATCACAAAGCACCATGCACATCCATTATATTTAAAGAACGTATTCATTTCTGAGCATGTAGCCTATTAATATTTTATAGAGAGAGTCTATCTAAACAAGCAATGTTATATCTTTGGTTCATTTGAATTGTTAACTAGATTGTCTTTTGTTTTGTTGGTTTTAGGTTCTAACAAAGAAACTGTAAAACAGAAGGTCTCCCATACAGTGCTCTCCTCCCCTCTATCTCCACCCTCCCATTCAGCTACGCAAATACCACCCCCTCCTCCTCCTTCAGCGTCTCACCCATCAACACAAGCACAACCAGTTCCCAGCCTACCTCCCAGAAACATCAAACCTAACACTGAGCCCTTGTAAGTGAATACAAAATCTGTTTTGCTTATATTTTGCTTTTACTTTCCTGTTCATGTCTATCATGGATATCAACATACTCAATCAGTGACAATTTAAACCCAGCTGGAAAGCCAAGCTCCTGAGCCTCACTGAGTCTGCTATTAAAGTGACTAAGATTATATCTACAATACAGCACAAAGTCAATGTAAGCTACGCAACTCCACCTACATGAATAACATAGCTAGAGTTAATGTCCCGTAAGCTGAGTTACTATGGGAGGGTCAATGGTAGAAACTCTGCTGTTGATCCCCCCTTTTTTGTCCAGACTAGAATAACAGGGCTGATCGGAGAATGATCTGTGAATGATTTGGCAGGTCTTCACTAGGCCCACTAAATCTACTGCTAGTTAATCGATCTCAGGATGCTGATCCAGGCGGTAGTGTAGCCTGAAAGTCATTACACGGACTATAGTTGAACATGGATTGGACCCTAGCTGATGAGAGCTTCATCTCCAGAGATTGCTTCTAGCCTCTGGTAATCTACTTCTCCCACCCTTCAGGTGGTGATGAGAGAAAACTCCTTCCAAGTCTTGTATCAGAAAGCATAAGGCTCTATCTTCTCCCTTATGTGTAGGAAGTAAGTAGTCTCTGCTGCCTCTAGCCAGCAGCAGCAACTGAGAACCTTACTCAAGCACTTTAGGTGCATGGTAGAGGATGGAAGATATTATGCAGATGATAATGGCCATTAGTTGGGGCATACCAGGCAAAAGGGCTGGGGGATAGTTAATGAGACTGTACACATGACACAGGAACTTGGCTCACAGTTTTAAATTTCAGTTACCTATCGTGATGCTATTTACATGCTCTTCTCAAATTTGACTTATCAAATGGGGGCCTGCTGGTGGCCAAAGGGTTGAAAGCATGTGTTTCTAAAATGAAAAGGCCAATGAAAGCAAGTTCAATACTCAAAATAAGCAATTCTGTGGAAAACAACTTATTACACACATAAAATAGCAAAAAATTCTCATGAACCCGAATGAATACATTACTGAGTATGAACTGCATTAAGTACTCCATCTAGTGGCTGAAACACAGCAGGTCCCACCGCCTCTATAAAAGTCATTCCTGTATATTCTCCTTCCTGTTTGCTTAAGATTCAAGTTTCTTTTCTTTGTCTGCAAGGAGCTGTACAACATGCAAATGTATACTGCTCTGCTTATGCAGCTGCAGAGATTATAATCTCATTAGTGTTCCAAAAAACCTCAAGAGATTTCTGACTATTCTGTCTGTCTGTTGATCCACAAAATTACAGTGTTTATACCACTTGCATATGAGTGCCTTTGGCATTTATTTTCTGTTTGTACATTCAGAGTCAAGATACCATCATGTAAAACCACAGTTGCACTTAATCTAGTATGGGAATCTCAACTGTACTTTAACACAGATCTAAGCTCTGTATTGTTTAGGGCTGAAAGTGAACAAACTATGCAGCCGGTGTCCCAAATTCTTGGCACATGCAGCTAAATATGCAGAACTTAATTAAATGAAGGTATAATTATAGGAACTATCTTCTCAGATGTCACATTTTCTTTTCATATTCACAGAAGCCTAGAAAATGAACAGAGTTACGATGATGTTGAATTTGGTGCAGATGGTAAGAATACATTTCAATTTATAGCAATCATTTAAGAATTAAAAATGTTGTAGCTATAATAAAAGTGATGGAATAGTTATTTACAGTGTTATCGAGCTTCAAGTCATACTGTGCAGTGGTGTAAATTTTGTACAATCTGTCACTTCTCCACAATCAACATGACAAGGTTGTTCTCTTAGAAAGCCTTGATTTAGCATCCACATAACTTTGGCTTGGAAGATTTGCTGAGCCTAATAATTTCCAATGCTGATCTGGAACAAATTTCGTTTTTGCAGCATTAGTTATTGTGTTCTCATGAAACATGCATTGTTTTTATACTTGATAAAAGTAATTTGCATGTTATGTATTATTATCACCTTGACATCTGCCCTGAGCAAGGGCTAGCACATAGTTGTGTTGTACAGGAGCAGCCCAAGAAGTAGATTTTTACTTTCTCTCCTTGTCTCCCATAGGAAGAAAGTAAACTATGTCAGGCTATATAACCCACAGTGTACTTCACTAGCCTGCACGGCATATAGTGGGGTGGAGCTGAAGCATGTCACCCACTTGCACAGCCTGGGTAGCTTTCTCTTCCTGTGCTTCAGGCCACAGCACAGCTAGCATGATAGGGTATGTCTACACTACCCTCCTAGTTCGAACTACCATTACTCCTCGTGAAATGAGGAGTAACGGTAGTTCGAACTAGGTTTCTAGTTCGAACTACCATTACTCCTCGTGAAATGAGGAGTAACGGTAGTTCGAACTAGGTTTCTAGTTCGAACTACCATTACTCCTCGTGAAATGAGGAGTAACGGTAGTTCGAACTAGGTTTCTAGTTCGAACTACCATTACTCCTCGTGAAATGAGGAGTAACGGTAGTTCGAACTAGGTTTCTAGTTCGAACTACCATTACTCCTCGTGAAATGAGGAGTAACGGTAGTTCGAACTAGGAGGGTAGTGTAGACATACCCATAGGGAGTACAGGTCTTATTCGACCATTCTCCCTGCCATGACTGTAGGGGGTGGTGGGTGCATGGTCCCTATGTGACCAGTGTAAAATTGTATGTCCTTAACTATTCTTTTCATTGCTTGTAAGTGGTTGGATTTTTGTAAACTGATATGATAGGCAAGAACAGTGTTGTCTCTGAGGACTCTTTAAAATGAACATTCTGTGATAAAATATACATTATGTCAAATGATCTGTGAAAGAGCTTAATATCAGATACTGCTTGAAGTTTACAAAGAACCACAATATTAGCACTAGGAAGCTCTGTTCGTCTTAATTCATTTGCATTCTTATCCTCATTAAAATCCATAAGAGTAATTATAAATCTATAACTGTCACTAGTTAAGGTACAGTTGTATATATGTCCATATAGTTAGCACCAGCCTAAGGCACTTTCTCTAAAAAAGAAAGTAATAGTCTGTTTGTATTTTTGGTCATTTAGGTCGTGGAAATACAGATGGGGTAAGTATTATCCTTTGTAATACGCAGAAAACATATTATTTAATGTCATTGAATTAAAAAAGCCCATTTCTTGCAGAATAGATCCTGTGGATTGCTGATACATTGCAGAACTGTTGAGGGCAACAATGAAAGTGGACAGACACCGAACAAAAGTGGAGTTAATTAAAAAGCTAGCCAGAAACTAAAAAGTTCACAAAATCTTCTATTTCCAAGTTTCACAGACATTTCAGTTTCATTTAAATTTTCCAGAAATATTGGTCTATTTCACCAATCACGTGCCTAATTTTAAGCACATGAGTGTCCCTTGTTGATTTCAGTATGATTACTCATGTGCTTAAAATGAGGCATGTGATTAAGAACCTCAATAAATTATGGTTTTAATGTCTTGCCCACAGTTACACAATACATCTCTGGCAAAGCCAGGAACAGAATCCTAATCTGAGCCTTATTCCAATACATTCAATAACTTTGTCCTCTTCAGTGAATCATTTCCCATAATGAGGTTCTAACTCTGTACTCCTTTTGAAGTCTGTGCCATCTTTTAGATGCAGTGTAGCTGAAGTAACATCACAGAGATTCACTTCAGAATAAACTGAGGAGGGAGGCTGTGTAGATGGATAGACAACTCAAATCTAAATAGAAGAAATACATATTTGAACAATTTAGTAATTTGGGCTTGGAAAGATTAAATGCATTTTCAATTATTTTTCTGCCTTCATGTATATCTGTTTGTATCTAGCTATAAAATTCAGCTGGTCTGGAAATTTCTCTATGCAACATCAGCGTATTTGGGCCATTGGAAACTGAGTCATGATTATTTTTTCTTATAGGATCAAGAGAGTGAGGGAGAGACATATGAAGATATCAATGACATGAGGTACCAAATCTAACTTATACAGGTCTGATTCATTGTGCTTTGTTACTGAATGAAGAAAAGATTGTTAGGCAATATGGTAGGAAATATACTACTTCTGATCCAGAACTTCACTGCATATCCACTTTAATCATCTTCCATAAAGAAAGCACATCAGTTTACAGGTTAATTCCCTCCTAAAAGCTGATTTAAAATGGGCTGGAGGTGCTTCCTCAAATGAAGCCCTGTGATTATTTTGATTTGCATAGCAATAAAGTGTGCTCTTCAGCTTTTTGGAACATGGCTGAGATGCTGCACAGAAATACTGCCTGAAATGGGAACAAAATACACCCCTCATACTAGTTGAATTATTTTGTTAATGCTGTGATTCTCAAAGTCCATTTTTATAGAGATCATGAAACAAGTTTGGAAACTTCTGTGTATCCACTGAGCAGGGACAGTATAGAAAGCAGAAATGCAAGTTTCCTTCCTACAGAACTGCAGCAGTGCCCCACACCTGAAGGACCAGTGGTCTGACTCACAACTGCCTAAAGCCCACAAGTGGGAAGCAAGCTGTGACAGACCCACAATATGGGGCACAGAAAAGTAATGCATGCAGGAAAGTTATAGCATTGTGGGATGCTTTTCTTTGGAGTAAATCGGGTTCTAGGACTCTAATTCATGATTCTTTATTTGTAATGCAAAATTGTTTTCAACAATAACAGTGAAGGGGCACAAAATGCACCTAGAACATAGGTAATGTTGAGGTGGAGATAAGTGATGTCTCCCCAAGTAAGGTACATTTGAGAGGTATATAGTAGTTCCATCTCTGGGTCCATCCAAGTCCGTTTAATAGATGCACACACAAACAGGGAACTACGTTATACCTGTGAGACTCATTGCTCTGAAGTGATGCACATTCCAATGCTATCGCCAGTCCTTCCTGTTCCATCCAAGAGCTCACCTGCTGGTGCTGTCCTGCATGCAGGAGCAGGGCCAGGCCTCTCACTGGCACATGTCCCTTTTGGGTATATCTACACTGTGATTAAAAAGCTGGGCTGGCTGGTGTCAGCTGACTTGGGCTCAGGCAACGGGGCTATTTAATTGTGGTGTTAATGTTTGAGCTCAGGCTAGAGATTGGGCTTTAAGACCCTACAAGGTTGGAGGGTACCAAAGCTCAGGTTGCAGCCTAAACCTGAATGTCTATACTGCAGATAAGCAGCCCCTTAGCCCAAGACTCATGAGGCCAACCCAGGTAGCATGGCCAGTACCAGGTATAAAATTACATGTAGACCTGAGTCTCAAACTCCCAGCCCACAGCCATCCCCAGCCAGAGCAATTGCACAATTTGTCCCAGAACTCCTGTCAGGCTGGCGAGGCGTGTCCTTTAATGGCCTTCAAACTCCATCCCTTCCTGACATACTGTTCCCTCTTCCCCGCCCCCCATGGCACCCTCTCCCCCGAGGATGTGGCTTTGGGGATCAATGGGGCAAGGAAAAGCTGGCACAGTGGCAGTGGTCATGTCCCCCTGCACTCTCTGCAATGGCAGGAACCACGGCGGAAGTGGAGCACAGAAGAGTGAGTGCACTCACCCTGTGCACTCCACTTCCCCCGCGGTTCCAGCTGCCACATGGCACCAGGCCTCCCTCCCAATAATCCCTGAAGCCATGTCTTCTGGGGATTCCATGGGGTGAGAGGGCAGGGTGAGGGCAGGAAAGGGCGGGGCATGCGGGCTGGTAAAGGATAGTGTCTCCCCTCCCCCAGCCTGCCATGAGTCCCAGGCCAGATTGTACAATCATTCCAGCTGGGGATGGTCTGCAGACTGAGAATTTGAGACCTTCTGGGACTAATGTCACTTTGGACCTCTCCAGCATAGCCAGCTAAATGATGGTTGCACCTTTTGCAGATGCCTTGCAGGGAAAGGGTTGCCAAATACCCCCTCTTCTATGTAGCTCATCCATCCAGGACCAACTACCATAGGGTTCAGAACATGTTTCCATGATATTATTAAGGGATATCTTCTCATATCTGATCTTGGAAGAGATCAGCTCTGAGTGCTTACCCACTTCTGCCCACTCTCTTTTACATTCATACCCTTCCCTGTGAAATAATCTGTGTTCATTGTTCAGAGCCACATCAAAAGAAGAAGAAAAGAAGAAAGAGAAGGAAGAAAAGAGAAGATTGGACCAAGAGAAGAAAGAACAAAGGGAAAAAGAAAAGAAAGAGCAAGAAATCAGAAAGAAGTTCAAAGTAAGGTCTTTCTGTGCCAGGCTACACATCAAAGTGCATCAGCCATTATTTAGCCTTATGTCATTTAAGACACACATTTCAGTGCAAAAATATGGTATGGGTGCAAGCCAGCTTGGTACTGCGAGGTCATTCAGCATTTAGGATGAACTTTTCTCCCTTGGACAAAGTCAGAGGCAAGGTTCAATCCTGGAAGGGGCTGAACAGTCTGGCCCTGGAAAGAACTTGAACATACCTTGAATTTAAGCATGTGAAATTTCCCAGTGATGTGACAAGCACTTCAGTGTTTGTAGGGCCTGATTTTCATTTCCATAAAGTCTCTTACATGCAAACACCACTATTGTAAAAGGGCCTTAACATACATATAATTTACAAACTGTTTGCCATGTCAAGGTAACATAGAGGGACCTCAGTGAAAAGGAGAATTTAGGTCCACGGCCCTTCACAGACTTAGGCTGCGTCTAGATTGGCATGATTTTCCGGAAATGCTTTTAACGGAAAAGTTTTCCTTTAAAAGCATTTTCGGAACAGATCGTCTAGATTGGCATGGAAGCTTTTCCTCAAAAGCACTTTTTGCGGAAAAGCGTCCATGCCAATCTAGACATGCTTTTCCGCAAAAAATCCCCGATCGCCATTTTCGCGATCGGGGCTTTTTTGCGGAAAACAAATCTGAGCTGTCTACGCTAGCCCTTTTGCCTGAACAGGAGCAGAATAGTATTTCCGCAAGAAGCAGTGATTTCTTACAGTAGGAAGTCAGTGCTTCTGCGGAAATTCAAGCGGCCAGCGTAGACAGCTGGCAAGTTTTTCTGGAAAAGCGGCTGATTTTCCGGAAAAACTGGCCAGTCTAGACACAGCCTTAAAGTTAAAACACATGCTTTGCATATTTGGGCCAGAGCACCTTATGGGATTGGGCCCACAAATGCTTTTTGTATGAAGGAGCAGCACTTGGGACAGACGAATGAAATCTCCTAACACAATTGAGAGGCTGGAAATAAAGAACCTGTGAAGCTGAGCGAAAGTCATGCTAAATAAAGCCCATTGTTGTGTAGTAATGAGCCCAGTTCACTGTGCCCCCAAACAACTTAGGCATAGTTTGTAACAAGTGGACCCATGTAGCCTACAAATCCACTGGTCATTCTCTACTATCCTTGTTGCCTGCCCACAACCCCCCTGTCATGTTTCTGCAAAGAACCAAAGAAACCATTGTGATTATTCTGTGCCTGGAGCACAGCCTTTGGTGAAAGGCTGAGAAGATTTGGCACGTTGGACAGTAAATAGTGGACACAATAGCAATAGATCTGGAAGATGTGGATTTCAGGGGTGTGGCCCCAAATTCTTCTCTCACACCAAATTCTTGGTTGGAATATAAGTATTAACATGCTCAGTAGTTTTAGGCTACTGGTCTTAGACCATCTTATCATGTAGGCTAAAATGTATTGTTTTCCATAAATGCAGACATTCAGACAAACATGTTGTATTCATCTAAACAGATATCTTATCTGTCATTCTAATACATGGCAATACCCTTTCTGTACTGCTCTGGCCACTCCCCTATCCCTGTGTTATGAATACATTGAATTACCAAGCTGTGGCCAATTACTAGCTCAACTGCTTGAATCATATGCAGTAGTCGGGCTCTCCCCTGCACCTTTTGCTTGTTAGCGTGTCTTTAATGTGTATGCTTTTCAGAGCAGAGACTGTGCCTTTGTGTTTGTTTGCAAAATGCCTACCTCATGTGGGAGGCACCAAAAACAAATTATTGTTTTGTGTTTCATCTAAATTTTTCTCAAAACAATCAGCACATCCTCTGCATGTTTGTGTGTGTGTGTGTGTGTGTGTGTGTGTGTGTGTGTGTGTGTGTGTGTGTGTAATTTCTCTTGTTGTGTTTTTCTGTGCAGTTATCAGGACCCATCCAAGTCATTCATCAGGCACGAGCTTGCATGGACTACAAGGGAGGCAAGAATGAGATGACTGTCAAACAGGGTGACAAAATTGAAATCATCCGTATTACAGACAATCCTGAAGGAAAGTGGCTGGGCAGGACAACAAAAGGATGCTGTACGTTCTGATTCTCCACTTTGCCCCTAATTGTGTGTTGTGTTGAACACTGGCAGCATGAGTGCATACAGAATTATGTGAGAGAGCAACATTAACTGAACTAGATCCTTGGCCAATATGGGCAAGGACATGTAGAATTAACCGCCACAGCTCGTACTGCTGTGCTTATCTGACGGGGGACACAGCTCACAATGTGAAGTTATGTTCTGCAGATTGGCAAATTTAGGGATTCTAGGCTTAATTAAGGACAAAAGGGCAGATCCTCACCGCTGGAGCTAAATCAGTTTATATCCACTGAGGGTGTGGCTCAATATGTCTGCTTTAGAATCAGCACTGGAGCTTGTCTCTGGGGGTATGTCTACAACCATATATACCAAAGGATACAATTAAAAAAAATGAACACATATCTCCCCCCCGCATCCCCCTTCTGTTCTGAAATGTGATTTGTCCTTTTCATATGTGTTCACTTTTTTTTTTTAATTGTATCCTTTGGTATATATGGTTGTGACTATTTTCTTCCACTATTTGATCTGAGGAAGTGGGTCTGGCCCATGAAAGCTCATCATCTAATAAACCATCTTGTTAGTCTTTAAAGTGCTACATTGTCCTGCATTTTGCTTCAGCTACCTCAGACTAACACGGCTACATTTCTATCATTATATTGTTAAAGAGACTTTCATTTTAAAAATACGTTGTTTGAGAAGTTTTATACACACAAAATTAAAATCTCTGTAGGAGCGTTAGGGTTCTTATGCAGCTGTCTCAAGCTAACTAATTTAACTTATTTTGGCTGTCATAAACTAATTTTTATTTCAGCAAAAGCAGAAGTTGTACCAACCTTCCTATGGGCGAAGGTTAAAGGTATAACACAGAGTAGTTCATCGATGTTTCATCCTGAATCTTATCTGCTTAATTAAAAGTATATAAACTGATAAGAAAGAGGAAAGGTTGAAAAGAGAATGAAAATATATAATGATATAAAAGAAGGATATTTATAACTATTCATTTGAAATATGTAACAAAGACTTTAGTTTACTTTCCAAGTTTCCATCATTTTTTTCTAGTTACTTAACTTTTATATGAAGTAAGTAATTTTCAGATGTAAGTTAGCGAGAAAATGCACCAGGAATTGGGCTGCTGCACCAGGTGGAAAAAAAGGATTTTCAGTGTTCTTTCCTTTTGCCTTTCTCATTTTTGAAAAAAAAAATCTGTAAGTCCAAATGTCCATAACTTTTATCGGCCAGCAGACACAGTATTTAAATCCATTTTATTATTATAGATTATTTTGCCAAGGACATCTACACAATAAATTATAAAGATGGAAGTTCAAGTCAGATGAACTAAGCTTTGTATTGCTCCTCCAGCCAGGGCACGCAGGTAGCAGGAGGATCACCCCCAGTGTAGATTATCTCTGCAGTGACAGAGGTCCAGCACAGTAACTCCTATACACCTCTGTATCAACTCACAGTAAAAGGAGGGAGTGTGAGTTTAATGTCCCTGCAATACAGTGCTCTATTTATCAGCCTGTTTGGATCATAGACCAGCAATGGGTAACCTAGGCTAGTGAGTGGGCTCCATCAGAGGCCCTCCTTTATCTCAGTGGGCCACAAGAGGGGCATAACCAAGATGGTCTCACAGGATACAGTAGTTTTGCTAAATGTATTTGAATACCTGAAATTTGCAATTGAACCTTAGCAGTTTTTTGACTGGATGCAAAGGGAGTGCAAGGTTTTTACAGTCAATGTTGTGCACAATCCACAGGCACCTCACTTCACATGCCCTTGTTTTATGTGAGTGTCATTTTATTAATACTGATAGGAAAATATTACGCAGGTGGAAACCAGCAGAATCTGGCAACCCTGTGCATGCGCATTAGTAAACAAAATAAATTGTGAGCCACCGGTTGCCTACCACTGCTCAAAACTAAGCTGGAGGACTGTGTATTTGCATGGGAACCTCAGGGTTAGCTGAGCAAAGGTATCTTAAAGCAACTTTTCCACTTGCACCATTCCCCACCATTGCACTGCACCCTCAGCTGAGCATCAGGCTCAGAATCTCTAGTGGCTATCATTGTAGTGATTATGTAGTGTTAATTCATCTTTAAAATGAGGGGTTCTGTTTCCAAGACACACAGGGCCTGATTTTCCTATGACCTGAATGTGTCTGAACCCATTAAATTCAATGAAATTACACCTGACTTGCACCGTGCAAGTGGAGGAGGCCCAACTTACTTAGATTCAGACATTTCTATAGCTTATTCAGCCATACAATACAACTATAATCGTTTGAGTTCTCGGCCCTCTATTAAAGTCCTTCCTTAGCTGCTGTTTTAAAATGAAAATTGTTGCGGCTTGATCATAAGCTATCATTGTTTTAGATGGATACATTAAAACAACGGTGGTGGAGATTGACTATGATTCGTTAAAAAGAAAACAAAGACCTTCCATGAGTATTTCCCTGAAACATGTAGACAGTGACCAAGAAGTGTATGATGATGTTGGAGATCAGGACAGTAACAGCAGGTATGTATGAATCCAACTCAAGTTAGTTGATTTAATCCAATTGATAGATTATCCAAAATGAGGAAAATTACAAAACAGGAACACAGAATTTTTAAATTGAAAAATATATATTCTTGCTGACACAAAACATCAGATTTCAAAGTATGTGAAATTACAGTGAAACTATGTGAAAATGCAATTTTAAAAACAGTATATGCTAGTCTGAGGCATTTGAATTTTACCATAATATTTCCTGTGCTTAGACTAGGAAATACAACAGATTCCATGGTGAAGGTCACTATCTTGGCACATTAAATTCTACTTGTTTAACAATACCCGTTTTATGAGTTGGAGGCATTGTAGGATTTCCTTCCAGACAGTCTGTAACTTTGTTATAGCTTTTAAGACAATCCATTCTATAAGCCTATCTGAGTCGATATTTTCAGATTCAGAGGCCATCTAATTTTTTTAATCTCAAATCAATTCATAATTCATTTCATCTCTGGGTTCAGAGCACAAAACTATCAATACAATCAAAACAATAGTGGGTGACATAAAACTTCCCATCAAATATCACATAAGCAGTTGAGAGGTGTGAAAGAAGACAAAAATCTTACCTTTTTTAGCTAGTTTCCCTGTCTGTGAGAGCTAAATGATTTTGAATTGCACAGTCTGGATTAAATCTATAAATTATTTTTCAGTAGTTACATTGCCCCTGTTTAGGCAAAACTTCCACTAACTTCACAAAGACTTCAGGATTTAGTCCAATGATATGCAGGTGAGACTGTGGGCAGAGGGATTAGTCTCTATTTATGACAATTTACAACATAACTGAGCTTTTTACAAATATACAACAAACTCTGATAGCAATGAAAAACAGCTAATAATATACAAAAAAATGTAACTGGCCTAAAATGACTGAAGTGGAGAGAGGAATAAGAATGAAAGAAGAAATCCAGAAGCATTTACGTCTCTTTGGCTTGATGCGAAAGCTTAATTTGGAGATGATAAGTCTGTGGTCAGTCCAACAGTCAGCACTCGGCATGGCCTTGGTCACCCTTACATCCTGTCTGTCTTTCCTCCGCACAATGACATAATCAATGAGATGCCAGTGCTTAGAGCGTGGGTGCATCCAGGACGTCTTTTTGCGAGTGGGCAGGCGGAAGATGGTATTGGTGATGATCAAATCATGAGCCGCACATGTCTTCAGTAATAGTAGGCCATTGCTGTTACATTTACCGATTCCATTTTTTCCAATGACGCCATCCCAGGCAGTGTGATCAGATCCTACTCTCGCGTTGAAATCGCCAAGTAGAATCAGCCTGTCAGTGCGCTTCACGGATGAGAGTAGGGCATCGAGATCTTCATAAAACTTGTCCTTTACTTCATCCGGATTCGTCATTGTGGGCGCGTAAGCGCTGATCAGTGTGGCTTGCTTTCCTCTCGGTAGTGGAAGATGCAGTGTCATGAGTCGGTCATTCACGCCCTTGGGAAGACTGGCAAGTTTGCGGACAAGATGATTCTTAACCGCAAAGCCAACTCCAGATTCACGACGTTCGTCACTGCTGCGTCCACGCCAGAAGAATGTGTAACCACCTCCTGTTTCCATGAGCTGACCTTCATTTGCTAGACGAGTTTCACACAGTGCCGCAATATCGATGTTAAATCTTGTGAGCTCTCTGGCGACCAGGGCTGTTCTTCTTTCTGGGCGGTCTGCTGAAGGGTTGTCCTGAAGCGTGCGTACGTTCCATGTGCCAATAGTGAGTGGTGTCACCTTGCATTTTGTTCGAAATTTTATTGTTCGACCGCATGAGATGGGATCCCCTCCAGCCGCGGTAAGCTGGCCAGGGTTCTGTGAAGCAAACAATGTTTAGGGCACCTTTTCTAGCCCCTTCCTCTTACTACGGAGGTGAGCAGTGCAATCCTAAAGAGGGCTGCTCAGTCACTCAGGTAGACGCCGAATCCAGCTGTTGCTTCCACCAGCAAGAAGACGACCATTAGACCTGAGCCGCCTGTGTGCAGGTCCGCGGCTACAGCTCCCAGTGTATCCACACCTGCTGCTTCGTCGCTCGCCCGTCGCCACAGGACTTAGGAGATGTCGAGATGTCAAGACTTGCGCGTGAATTGGATTAAAGTGAGGGAGAGGTGCGCATAGTCAGCCTCACTCTCTCTTCCCAGATTCCATCTTACTCCAATGGCAGGACCAGGTGACGCATCAGTGGTGGGGGAGGGAGCCATGAGCCCTTTCCTGTGTTTTTAGTTAAAAGCTTCCAGCCCCAAATAAGTCTGGCAGGGAGACTAGTCCCCAACCGTGCCCCTTCCACCTCAGGCCCCACCCCTTCCAGGGAGTGGAGCTGGCCCTTGACCACATACCAAAATTCATTAAGTGGCCTCCTTGTGAAAATTATTGCCCACTCCTCCCTTAGCCATACCAGGGAATCAAGCTATGCTCACTAATTTAGGTGAGTCAATTTCAAAATTAGATTCCTCACTGCAAAAATATTTTTAGGCTTCTCCTTTTCATGAGGGATATTATAATCATCCATCTCGATGCCAGAAATTTAGTTGTGCTGTGCTTTCAACAGCTAATAAGGATGGGTGCATATTTTTGTATTAAACTGGATTATTTAGAAAACAGTAGACTATATATGTGAGTTTAAGTACAATTCCTTGTACTTTTATATATCACAATAACAGTAAAAGCCTGTAGAGTGGAATGGTTGGAATTCACTTTTAGAGCCCTGTGATTCATTAAAGCCTTCAAGCTATATTCTGGCATTTTAATCTTCTCTAATGATTTATAGCCTTGCATTCAGTTCCTCAGCTTGAATTATCCTGCATATATCAAAATATCTGACATATGCACCAATGTGTTTTGAGACCAACATAAAATCACCATAATAAAAAACTCGTTGACCAAAATATTATTGTAACTGGTAATGACACCAATTTTTAATAAAAGCCTACGTATGACTGCTGAACTTTGTGATATGCTGAAATTTAATAGCAATGAGGCATTTTAAATAAAATTTTATTTTAAAGTGTTTTTATGTAGGGTTTTGATAGTTTTCATTTTGGTTGTTTAGTGGGCACTCATACATCATAGTGATGAGTGTGATGAAAGAAAGAGAGAAATAATTGGTACCTTTGGCAATTTAGAAGGTCAGTATTTAAGCATGCAAAATAGATATTTCCTGAGTGCCCATCTAGGCATCTAGATGTAGGATTTGAATATAGTATTTAGATGGATTCATGTGTATTGAAATATACTAGAACATATGTCAAGAAAATGGTGTATGTTTGTTGTTTTCTTTTTTTACAATGAATGCAAATGTGAATCGTAAAAGTTCTTTCACTTTGTTCTTCTAGCCACAGTGGTGGTCGAAGTGGAACTGGAAGTAAGTTCTACTTTTATTACATCTAAATTTCTTGTTTGTATTTTATTTAGTGCTTACCTACAGGTGCAGATCTTTATGATTTCCTGTAATGGAATAATTAACCACAAGTATGCAAATGTTATTTAGCAAGTGGTAAACCATGAGGGGTGATGGTTTCATGCAGTTGCCTGTCATGTAGTTCCACCTGTGGAAACATGGATGAATCAAAAATTTAAAGTCTGGGTACAGTGAATCCAAAGTATGATCATGAGAATGAGGATGATTGCAGATGCTAGTTTACACCACAAAAACACCATGTAGAATGGCAAAATTTCAATATCACTGAGACTTTCTGTTCAAAAGAAATTGAACACTAGAATAGCTTGTATACTGGTAGTCAAAGTTATGGTTCACTGGCAGAGCTAAGGGGGAGATCTAGTTCCGGTCACATTTTATAATTTGAATCAGTGCTACTACAGTAGTTCCTCATTGTCAGGAGCATCAGAACTGATCCACATTTTAAAAATGCTTTCAAGTTAGCCCAGTATATATATTTCTTTATTTTTCTTAGACACAGCTCAGGCTCTCAGTTTAGTTGAGAGTACCAGTTACAGATGGAACCCCCCCAGCAATGCAGATTAGGAAGATTCCCTCCACATGGTTCTCAGTTGACAGACAGCCTTGGCAGGGAGGCCAAAGACTGGGAGATGGAATTACCATTTCACTCCATCAGGCGGTGCCCATACATAAAGATTGAAGGGGTCAATCTGAGGAAGATTGCATTGCTACAGCTTCTGACTCACTTCTTTTCTACTTGAGTAGAGGACCTCAGCCTTTTTGAATGTCTGTCTGGTACCCTTATCTTCATCTAGCACCTTTCACCTGCACTGAAATCACACACAAAATAAAATTAAAAAGTTACAAATCTTGTTATTGAGTTGGTCAACAGCATAACAGCCCACTGGTTTTCACCAATTACTTATTTTCAATATTCAGGTTATTCTTATTGGCATTATTTTATTTATATACTAAGGCCAGTCCAGAGTTGATATAAATCAGAAGAACCTCACTGATTTATATCACCTGAGGACCTACCCTGTACATTTAACATTACAAGTCACTCAGAGAAGTAGCAGCCTATACTAAACCACTGGTTAGTGTCCCACTAAACAGAATCTGAGTATTCATGGATTATTTCACTTTTCCATTTATTAAAGTGATGTTCCCACCTCCTCCCGCCGATGAAGAAATTTATGATGGAATTGATGATGAGGATGCTAATGCTAGGTAAGTGTTTATATCGGTGTTTCTTAAACTGTGTTTCCGTGGCACACTGGTGTGCTGTGAGGGACTTGGAGGTGTGCTGCAGAAAACAGAGTTCAAAAGTGGCTGCCCTTAAAGGGACAGGCGACTTTTTTTTTTTTTATGTTTCTCATAAAAAGAAATTATTGTTTGGTGTTCCTTGGTCTTAAAAGATTTAAGAAACACTGGTTTATATCATTTATGATTATTGCCCATTTGAACTGAGTCCCATAGATTTTTATTTTAACATTTTAAATGTGGGATAAAAATTAACAAGTATTTAGCTTGATCTTTAGCTGGTGTAATCATGCATGGTTTCATTGACTTAAAAAAGATACATAGAACTAGAATGCTACCAAACTATTCCAGCAGTGAACAGACTTTAAAAAAAAGGCATGAACTTAAGTCAAGAGCTGAGTTCTATGTTACTTCCGGTGAGATTTTTAATGTGCATAATGCATTATAAAGGCAGCAAAAGAAGCTGTAACCATGAACATAAAAAAATTACAACTGGACAGAATAATCTTTAAAGGAAAGGGAAGAAAGTTACAGGTGCTAGTTTGGTAAATGACAATATAAAAACATTAAATTGGCATGTGAATGACCTAGAAGACCTGGATCATTTTTTCTGGTCCAGAATGCTACTCACTATAAATGCCTAAAACAAGGAATACTTTTTGACGCCTTCCACTTTTCTTCTCCTAAACATTACACTGGACTGTTGAAAAGGCTTCCAGTGCAGAGTTATACTTAGCACTGTCTACTTGGCTGTAAGTACACTACAATATGTCAGCTCTTGTGTGTTAATGGTACTTAAGCCTTCATCTGCAACCAGCTCCTCTCAAGCAGACTTTTGCAACTGCACTGAGCCAGTTACTGGATGAGACTTCAACCCTGATCCTAAGGCACATGTTCATATGTCTAGTCTTCTTGAGCTGCATAAAACTATGTGCGGAATGGATTATGAAGGCAGCAAAAGAAGCTGCAGCCAGGAACATACTTAAAAAAATGGACAGAATAATCATTACAGGAAAGGGAAGAAAGATACAGGTTCTAGTTTGCTAAATGAAAACATACAAACATTAAATTGGTATGTGAATGACCCAAAAGAGCTCTTGGTCCATGTGGTTATGTACTTCCCCGACCTGGGCTTTAGTTAGCCACTGGCCTTTGCATGGCTGTTGTTCTAATAGCATTTTTAATTCTATATATATTAAGTACTAACATTTTAGTAAATAAGTTAATAGATGTCTATTCTCATCTCATGACATGCTCCTAGTTCTCACTAATGAGAATTACATGCATCAACCAAGAGCTGAAAATGGCCTTTTTAAGAGATAATGTCCCATTCTGCATTGTGATAATTGCATGCATACTCCAAAGGTCTATATCACAGGATGAAGATAAGAATGACTCCTGGTCCAGAGGGCTTTTGAAGATGTTAAAGGGAAAAGATGACAAAAAGAAAAGTGTACGAGAGAAAACAACCAAAGTCAATGAGGCAGAAGATAATGGAGGTTCCTTGTAAGAATCTGCCATGAAAACACAATGCACTACAACTAATGCTAATACAGCGTTGAGCATATGCTACTAATATATTCTCACAGCAACCTAATCAATCATGAATCAAGCTGAACACAAATATTAAAATTCTGAAATAATATTGCCGACAATTACCGCAGTATGTTCTTTCCCATGCTATGCTATCTTTATTAATCACAGAATGTATGATGCACATACATTTGATTTTAGATTCAAAGTGAAAAGATGTCCCAGTCCAACAGAGCATGAACACACATTCTTAAAGTTCAGTATTCAGTAAAACATAGATATAAATGCAACTTCAGTATATGCTTAAAGTTAAGCATGTGCTTAAGTCCTTCGCTGAATAATGATGGATTGCTGAACTGGATCCAAAATGCTTACTAATTAATTTCTACAAGCATATAATAAAACTGTCCTATAAGATAGTCTTAGAACTGTCCAGAGAATATGTTTTAATTGTATAATATGAGCATTATGTGGTAACAAAATGATTTTACTTACCCAAAGAACTCAGTCACTAAATTGAAGTATTTTTGCTGTGAAAAAACAGAGGGCCTTATTCATTGACCATCCCAGCTACTTTGTTCCTTCCTGGTAACACAACTTTGTTATAAACGCAGCAGAAGTTACTTTTATTTGCATCGCTGGCATGGCACTAAGGAGCTGGCATATTATAGCGTTGTCAAATTCCATTTAATTGGTTAACTGGTTAAACACAACGTTTAACCAGTTAACCAATTATAGGGAAATGGGGGCCTTGCCAGAGGCAGGGGCTGCTTCAGCTTGGACAGAGCAGCCCCTGCCTGGCAGGCAGGGAAACTGTTCCAGCCCCACCAATTAACTAGAACTACTATGCATCACCCATTAAGGGTAATGCTTACGGGTTAACTGGTTAACCTTTCACAATCCTACTATATAATGGTGAATCTGGCCCTATGGAACCAAGCTATGAATAACATGCAAAACAGGAGAAGGACAAAGAGTTTCCTCTTCTTACCAGATCATGCTCATATTCAAAAAACCTTTCCAATTTTTAGAAGCAGTTCTCCATAATTTCTGATTCCTAATACACGAGGCCACAAATCACATGATCTCTGTCTAAAAGAATATTATGAAATATGGAGAAACATTGAACAAAAAATCACAGCAGAACTCCTTTCTCTGGTCCAAATCTACACTCATTGGCTTTAACAATTCCATTTTCAGGATTATGTCTCACAGTTGCCATAGGACTGGTGCATCTCCTCTACTGTTACCAGTGATGGGGAAAAACACAGTAGAATGACTGTTGGCATTTTTACAACCATCTGCATTATACCAGTTCTGAACATGTGAGGCTACCGTGACCATTTCTAATCTTAGTGGAGAAGTACAAACATATCTGTAGGTAGTGTGCAGCACCAGTTTTGTGAATTGGCTATCAGTGATTTAAATTAGGAGAAATTCTGTTCACTTGACTATAATTTTTAATGAAGATTGTATTTTTTTCAGCATGAATCCTCCAGTTAAGCAGTTTGGGAAAGGTAAGCAATAACCCTATTATGCTCCAATACATCTGTTAGTCTATAAGGTGCTACAGGACTCCTTGTTGCTTTTGCAATAATCCAAGGTAATTTTTCACTATTTTATTTTTATATTAATTCTTGCAGCATAATATATTTAACACCAACACTTCAGCTTTCTTTTGCATAAATTGTTCTGAATTATGCTAGTCACAAGAAAATAAATTATTTAAAAAAAAAGAATCAGGGTTTCCCATTCATTACTCAGGACCCAGAAAATAAATGTTGAAATACCTTAACTGACCTATAGATGTAATGATGTGTCTATAAAAGGCATTGTACTTTTAATAAAGTGTCATGACTTTTGCGTATGAATCTTAGAAGTTTAGAATTGAAAGGGACCTCAAGACATTTTCTGGTCCAGTCCCCTGCACTCAAGCCAAGTCTGAATATTATCTAGAACAATGATGGGCAACCTGTGGCTTGCAGACTGCATGCAACCCATTGGGATTATCCACTGGAGAGGTGCGAGATTGTTTACATTAAATGTCCACAGGCATGGCTCCCCACTGCTCCTAGGTTTTAGCCAATGGAAGCTGCAGGAAACAGCAGTCCATCAGGACATGCTGGCCACTGCTTCCTATATCTCCTATTGGCCAGGAATGGTGAACGATGACCATTGGGAGCTGTGGAGAACCAGGCCTGCGGATGTTCAACATAAACAAAATGTCTTCGCAGCCTGCCAGAAGATAACCCTGATAGGTCATGTGTGGTCCATGGGCTGCATGTTGCCCATCAATGATCTAGCCATCCCTGACTGATATTTATCTAACATGCTCTTAAAAATATCTAATGACAGAGTTTCAACAACTTTGCGAGGCAATTTATTCCAGTGCTTAACTATCGTGACGGGAAGTTGATTTTTTCCCTAATGTCCAATCTAAACTGCCCTTGCTGCAATTTAAGCCCACTGCTTCTTGTCCCATCTTCAGAGGATAAAGGGAACATTTTTTCTCTTCTGCATGTCTTAGTTCATTCATCATAGAGCATAAACAGATGTAGTTAGAAAGAAACACTAAGGCTACGTCTAGATTGGCATGATTTTCCGGAAATGCTTTTAATGGAAAAGTTTTCCGTTAAAAGCATTTTCGGAAAAGAGCGTCTAGATTGGCACGGACACTTTTCCGCAAAAGCACTTTTTGCAGAAAAGCGTCCGTGGTCAATCTTAGACACGCTTTTGTGCAAAAAAGCCCCGATTGCCATTTTTGCGATCGGGGCTTTTTTGTGCAAAACAAATCTCAGCTGTCTACACTGGCCCTTTTGCACAAAAGTTTTGCGCAAAAGGGACTTTTGCCTGAACGGAAGCAGCATAGTATTTCCGCAAAAAGCACCGATTTCTTACAGTAGGAAGTCAGTGCTTTTGCGGAAATTCAAGCGGACAATGTAGACAGCTGGCAAGTTTTTCCGGAAAAGCGGCTGATTTTCCAGAAAAACTGGCCAGCCTAGACACAGCCTAAGTGCAGGGTTATAAAACCATTTGATTATACAGTAGTGATGTATAGCACTTTATTTTTTTTAAATAACTTTTGTTAAGGCAAGAAAAACTGATAAATATCAACCTAGCTATAGAACATGAAGCAAATTCTTAAAATGTTTAATACTGTTGCCTAGAACCCAAACTTAAACCTACTTTTCCTGTAATCACTTTTTTTAGGCACTGACTGACTTGAAGTGTTGATCAACAACTAATACCTTTCTGCAAACATATAGGGCCAGCTTCAAAGAATAATTTTGAGTACTCATTCTTATTTATACTATGGTCTCTTTCCACTGCTCTAGTAGTGTAAAGTATAAAGTAGTCTTAAAGATAACATAAATTTGATTCATACCCAATATTACCAGAGTGGTGTAAAGTGGCCTTAGTGTGAATGAAAATCAAGCCCAAGGGCATACTTTGAGGCAGTATAGTGGGAAATGACCTAATTAAATTGAGGATTAAAGGCCATTGCATCAACCAACATGTGCTAAAACTTGTTTAATCTTTAAAAGATTAAAATAGCAATGAATACCCATTGTTTATTATTAATAATCTTCTGAAAAGATTGGCTGAATGGAGAGACAGTCCACAATGAAAAGTTAACTATAAAATATATGAATACACTTCATGCTGTAATTTATTGTCTTCTTGAACATACATTTTGTTACAGCTTGGGATTGTATCCAGTACCCAAGGACTGCATACTAATCTTTCATTGTTTTGAATTCTGTTGTTTCAGATGCAGGAGACAATGACGTTTATGATGATGTAGAATCATCTGACTTCCCTCCTCCACCAATAGAAATTGAGTAAGTGGAAATAAAAGCTACACTTGTGGGGAAAAGATTGTATATGCTGTGACACATTTTCTAAGTATTTGCTAATGGCAAATTGTTACATTACTCAGTGTGTATATCTTGTTTGCTGCTGCCAGGTTCTGTAGTTTTCATTACCTGGGTGTTAAAATTGTAAGTTAAAAGTTCAAATGCTGCATTTGTAGTTAAAACAATAATGGAATTAGGCTGCTGGAGTAAACATGCCCTGCATTTCAACAAATTCTGGCTCTGGTGGACCAAGGGGAGAAATGAATTCCAGAGTCAAGGACTTCCTGCTATTAATGCCCTGTCTTTAGTCCCCATTCATTTTTAGACCCAGAGACTGTTAACTTGGGAGCTATGGTTAGTCTCAGCTGCTCCAGTGAAGGCAATCACTAATGCATCTAAGATCCAAGCCATTTACTTATACATTATATTAACACTTGCTTTTGTACCTGGAGATGAAATGGCAGTCAGGACAGATAATTATGTATTATACATCTGGCCTGGATCACAGATGTAGTGCACTGCTTGCTGAGAGGACCAGTAATTAAATAAACAGGCTGTCATATTCAGCCCTTGCAGACTTGTCTTCATAGTCTTCAATGTAGCCACAAGTAGGGAGCAATTCAATAATCCAGTCTGGAGGTGACAAAGACACAGAACACTAACAACATCCCCATGCAAAGGAAGGACCTGACCTATCCATTTTCAGGATCATATTTCCAGTCCACCAACAAGCACCACCACCTGTGGGGGAGGTTCTATGGATTACAGCCCTAGACAGATCAAGAAGAGAGGAGGTGGAGTCAAATCTTAACTTTCCAAATGTGAAGAGGGTGGTAAATGGAATCACTTTGTGTTACAGTTTGATAGTATCACAAATATGGAAATAACAATGGCACTCTAAGTGGACCTTATATTTGTGTGGTGCAGATTCCCTGGAATAGTGAGACAATCATAGGCGTGTGGAGCACATTTCATTAGGGTGTACACCCAAAGAATTGTTTTAAAATGTACTCTTTGACCTCCCCCCATTAGCCGCACCCCTTGACCCCCATTAGCCACGCCTCTGGAGGTAACACTTTTGGGACAATATGAACACATGACCAGAAATAAAAGGTGTCATGTGATCCCCTTCCCCCAAAAGACTTTTCCCACCATCCTCTTACCAATAGGGATTAGTTTGGCCCTCACCAAATCCCCCTCATGCAACTATCCTGCAATTGCATTAACCCGATGTGTGTGACATTAACTCAGGGGGTGAAGAGGCTGGGGGAAGTGTTCACTCTAAGAGTATCCTCCCATGAGCACAATAAATGTTGTGTTGTGCACCAGTATTGAGTTTGTGGCTTGTTTGGATGTGTCACTGTGGCACCCAAGTTATTAATAAATATCTTATGAACCACTACCTTTCCCCTCTGCTGCTCTGTCTCCTCTGCTTGCTCCATCAGCTCCCCTGGTGCCTGCTGCCCCCCCCCCCCCACCCCTCCCCCCCCCCTCCCTCCCCTCCCCTCTTTTCCCACCTCCCCCCTCGCCTGCAGAGCAAGCAGTAAAGACTTGTGTCTTGAAAAAAGCAGGACTATTTATCGTGGGGTCATATAACAGGGGAGGACTGGTGAAAGAAACTGGAATGGGGGAGCAGGCGGGGGGCTCATGGATAGGCCTGCAAGTGGTACCTGCCTCATAGAATCATAGAATCATAGAATAATAGGACTGGAAGGGACCTCAAGAGGTCATCGAGTCCAGCCCCCCGCCCTCAAGGCAGGACCAAGCTCCGTCTACACCATCCCTGACAGATGTCTATCTAACCTGTTCTTAAATATCTCCAGAGAGGGAGATTCCACCACCTCCCTGGGCAATTTATTCCAATATTTGACCCCCCCTCATTCCCCTCTGTGCACTCACCTGTGCCTTGCCCCACCCCCGCCTTCCTCATGCCCACCCCTTCTTTCAAGCCTTCTCCCAGCCCCTCTCTTTCTGTCCCCAAATCCCCAATACCCTTACCCTCTCCCCTTCCAGCATTACCCTGTCCCCCTCCCACTGACACCTCCCCTCCTGCCTTTTTCCTCATTGTCTGCACTTTGCCCTCTGCCATTTGTCTCTCCTCCACCCCTGTCCCTTTGGTGCCTTCCCCTTCCCCTCCGCCTCCACACAAGCACCTTCCTCTCCCAGCACTTCCCCTTTCCCTTCTGCACAAGCCCCTTCCCCTCCCCTCCTCTCTCTCTCC